TATCTAGGCCTTCAAAACCAGAGCCTTCCTTTAAGCTGTTAATCAATTTTTCCTTAGACTATTATTTAAAAAAAGAGATATGTTTAAGCAAAGTAGAGATTAGCTTGTATGTTAAATATCATCTGCCATACAGAAACTAACCCACCATGGAAACATTCCAATTATTATCTCCAAAGAAAGTCCGTAGAGTATTAAATCCGTAGGATAAAAATGCAGTGGAGCCTGCTGTACCATGTCCTTGGATTTTAGTCTCCACGATCATGCTATAGTTAAACACTTATTATAAGTAAAATTTTTCTCATATACTTTCTTCCCATGCTTTTTTCCCTATCATGAGTCTCCCTATTCATCCTTCAAGTTTCTCTTCACACAGCATCTCCTCAGTGCAGTGATCTCTGACAGCCCCAGGCAAATTTTAAGGGCTTCTTCTCTAAGCTCCCACTGTACTGCATCGATAACTTTATTATATCAATTACCTCAGTTTCTTTCCATTAAAATGAACATTCCCTTAAAGGAAGAGGACATGTCTTTTGAGCTTTGTATTCTTAGCACCTATCGTAAGACCTAGTGAATAGTTAGATGCTAAAATAAGTACCTTTTCAATGAATGAACAAATTAAAATGATACAACAAAAATAATTAGCAAAATGGGTTTGGAGGAGATAGATATGATAGTTCATGGAGGTGGAATCAAAAAGGTGTTCACAGCCAACAGGAGACTGTGGCTAAAGGAAAAAAGTGGAGTCAAAAATGACTTGAGGTTTCAAGCTTTACTGCCAGATGGCAATAATATTTACCACAACAGGAGAATGAAGGAGAAGCTGGTTTGGGGGTTGGGACACCCCACGCCTGTACAACAACCAGCTAGAAACTGGGGTCAGGAGGTTAGAGACATGCCTGAAGTCACATGGAGGTGACAGACAGAAGCAGTGAGTATATGACAATGCAACGGAAGAAAGAACAATGAAAGAGAGTTTAGGACAACTTAAGAGGACTGTTACTGCTTGGACATTAGGAAGAGAGCACAAGGGAGACAGAAACAGCAGGCGAAGATGACAAAAAGAGAGCCGAGGTGGTTTTAGTGGCGCAGAAGGCAGGAGTTTCAAGAAGGTGGGAAGGTTAGCAGTACCAAAAGCTCTACCAAAATCAAGTATGCGGAAACTAAGAAAAGGACAAAGAATATATATTTAGGCCATTAAAGACTATGGAGAAGATAGTTTCAGAAATGTAGTAGGGACAGAAATTATATGAAGGAGTTAAAGTTAACAAGTTCTACAGAAATGAAGACAGCATATATACAATTCTGGTAAGCGTGGCATTGAAAGAAAAGAGGACAAGGAAATAGTTCAAAGTGGTCACGAAGCTAAAAGAGACTATTTCTTAGGCAGCAGTCCCAAATCTAGTCTTCATTCTTCCACCAAGTAACCATGTGCTCTTGAGTAAACTGAGCCAGAAGGCAGCAGAGAGGGACACACAAGAAGAAAGGGGATCGACTTATGGAAAAAGGGCTTTACTGAGGCGGGAGGAAGTGGGATCAATGCACAGGGAGAAAAATCATCCTAGAAAATGAAAGGACACGTTTTCCATCTGACAGGAGAGGCAAAGGAAAGAGAAGTTGAAAACTGCATTAGATGACTGTAATCTTTTTTGGTAGAGGGTAAGGTCACCTTAGCTCTAAGGGGAGGAGAAAAAAGCTAGGTGAGGTGATTCTGAGAGCTGAATGAGGCCTACAGCTTTTGCTGCAAAAAATTCAATAGGGGATCGACGAGGAAGAATAAAACAGCTGCTTAACAATAAACGTTAATATCATCACAGTGATTAAGGTAATAGGTTGAAGACCTAAACTGGATAGTGGCAGAATGAATTAAAAAAAAAAGCAGCAGGAACAAGAGACATTTTGTCCTTTTTATAAAATTTCTAAGTAGAGCAAGGCACCTGAAGGGAGCCAATCCAGACAAACACAAACACATCATTTCACAGTATCTACATGGTCTCAAGGTGTCTCTCAGTTAAGTGGCACATCTTAACATCCAAAAGTGTACGATTCACGCTTACCTGGAGTATTCTAGTAGCTTTTTGCTTGTAGTCAATCAATTCCTGCTTAGAGGACTCCAAGTTCGACTTACACAGCTTGACTTGCTGCTGCAGTTCATCAACTCTCCTCTTTTCCTCTGAGTATTTTCTTTCTGCCACAGTAACTGCTTCTGCCAAATTCTGACGTTCTGCTTCCACTTTATTAAGGCGAGCAGCAAACTCACTCTGTGATAAATGTTTATATCACACTTATTATATCATTTAGCTTTGAAACATAT